TTATGTGACCTAGCTAGAACTATATGCTTAGCCATGCTTAATTACCACTAGCTCAGTTGATGGGATAATTGCAGTATTAGACCTTTTTAGTATCAGAACGAGCTGTGTGCTCGAGACACCCGACTATGTTTCATTGGGCGTAATTATCCAACTAAAATGTGACTGAATGGTGGGCTGTGGGTGTATGGTTTTGCTGGTTACACCCATGGCAATTAAGGACCGGTTCATGGGAAACCCTGGAAAACATACAGCGCTTGCCACAAGCGGGAGTGGGTAACTGCTTGATCTAAAGTATAGCTCGACCCTTTCCTAGGCACCGGTGGCGAGGGTGGGTGTGATGGAGTTGGGTCGGCCGGGGTGTCCGGTTGTCCAGCTGCCGGATTCACCGCGGCGCACGAGGGGACTGCCCGCTGCCTTGCGAGGAGTGAGGGTGAAACCTTAGCGTGGTGTGGATAGTTAGGGGAGGGTTATATGAAGGGTCTTGTCAAAATCACTCGACATGGTGATGTGTTCATCATGGGCGCATGATGACGCGGTGACATGCCGGTGGATTATGTCTTGTGGGTACAGTTGTGCACCTCTGGCCAAAGTAAAACTATTCGAATAGCCGTGTCCGCGGTTATGGGCGATCGACCAGATTCACCGTGATTAGTCTCACCCTTAATAAATCGACTCAATGCACTGTAGTTCAGGTGGGTTGGTTGGGCATGTTCAACGTAGTGTAGCGTTGATCAGTGGAGATTTAATGTTACTTTAATCACTCAACTGTTTTACTGTTTTGCTTAATAAAATGTTTTACAACCACCTTTATGCAAATAGCCACAAACTGTCCTTGTGTTCCCCTTGCACGTCTGCATCATTGGTGTGGCTTGCTGAGTATGGTGGTTGTACTCAGCCTTGCTATTATTCCCCCTTTTCAGAAGTGTAGTGCTTCTGAGCTGAAGACGAAGTTAGAGGACCAAGGCTCATACCCCAGTTGAGTTTTGCCTGTGGAGTGGAGCTGAAGCCTCGCTAGGATCGTCTTTTTCCGCTGCTGTCGTTCTCTTTCGATGTGAGGACTAAGTGCCTCTTCTGTGAGTATTTTACGCTTTATTTACGTTTGGATCTGTTTATTACTTGTCGTTTTGTGTACCCTGGCTAGTCCTGGACAGGGATTTAATACACAAAATAGTCTGGAAATTTAGGACTAAATTTCTGGGCGTGACACTGGGCCGATGCCTTGGCAGAGTGGACTGGCCTGGCACGACACGGTCAAAGAAAAATAATTGAGGGATCCAAAATATACTTAATTTAGGCATATGAGGCATGTCCCAAAGACAAGGATGCAAAATAGACTTATTCTTGCTATGTTAGACACAACCCAAAGATATGAGGAAGGAAAAATAAAATTATTATACAGAGAAGCACAACGGGCTATTGTGCCTTCGGGCCGGCCCAGCACGTCCCAAGTCTTATTGAGCCGTGCCTGGGTCATTGGTGCAGCCAGTGGTAGGCACTTCCTGGCCCGTCGTGTAGGTGGGGCCTTGCTAGCCCGACTGACCTAGACCCGGGCCCGGTCGTACTTGGGTTGTGCCGAGCCAAGCGGTCTATTTGGCCATCTATACATGCATATCCAAATTTGGTTCGCTAACTGTGTCGAGGCAACTCAACACAGATTGGTGGCTAGTTAGTGAAAATATGCATGGGCTGCCTCCCCACTGAAGCATATTATTGATTCTGGAAATCGACAATAATAAAAAAGGGTAGCACACAAGATGTAAAATTGGATGGATGCGAAAACAAGGATTTAGACAGGTTGAGGTCCTCTCAATGAGAGGTAATACCATACTCATGTTTAAGGATTGTATCCACCGGATGTATATTGATATGATGATCTGATAGTGCTTATATCTTTGGAGAGCTTCGTGTCCACCTTATATGACTTTGACCTAAGTGAAAACATCTTATAACCTAGAGGGAGTAGCAATTATGTCATGCTGGAAGCCTGGAAATCAATATATGCGGTTTGGGTGTTTAAGGATACTAGCGGAGGCGGAATCAATAAATTTTATTTATTATTAGAGGGAGCCAATAATGCTTATCTTTTAAAATTTTATAAAAAGCTACAGTGAATATAGGCTCCGAGAGACAACAGTACATTAAAAAGGGCTGGATTTTTCACATTTTGGTCCTTTTAAAAAACTTATTTCGCAAGTAGACCCCTAGAAAAACTTATCCCAAAAATGGTCCTTTTTGGGGCGCCAGAGTGGCTGGCGCCGTTGTTCAACAGGACGGCGCCAGCCTCTTTGGCGCCGTCCCCCTGCCGACGTGGTGGGGCGATGCTGAGGTGGCTAGGGGGAGTGCGCCAGAGTGGCTGGCGCCCCCCCCCCCCCCGAAATTTTTTATTTTTGTTTTATTTGTTTGATATTTTTTTCACGCTTAGGGACACACAAGAACCAACCATAGAAAAATTGAACTCAAATGAACGTAATATGTGACATGTAGAATTTTTCCTCTCCTCTCCTCTCTCCGAACTAGTGCAGAGGAGAGAGATGTGCAACTTTTTTATTTTTATTTTATTTTTTTGATATTTTTTTCACACTTAGGAACTCACAGGAACCAACCATGTAAAAAATAAACTCAAACGGACGAAATATGTGACATATGGAATTTTCCAAAGCTCCACCGAAAAACTTCTCTCCTCGACAACACAATCTTGCAAGCGGAATTTGGAGGTTTTAATATCTCCGAACCCGGCAAAGCTGGGGAGAATCGGATGTAACTTTTTCTGTAGATGTCCGTGCATATATTATTTGCCTGATTCCGAGTCCGTATGAGAAAGTTATGCCTATTTTAATAGATGATATATTTTGTCCATTTTGGTAGAGTTTTGGAAAATTCTACATGTCACATATTTTATCCGTTTGAGTTTATTTTTTATACGGTTGGTTCCTATGTTCTCCTAAGTGTGAAAAAAATATCAAAAAAATGAAATAAAAATAAAAAAATTGCATCTCTATGTACTGTTTAACTTATATATGTCATTTCATGTGGTTATATTTTGAATTAGATTAAGTAATTTCATATAGTGGTAGAGTGCATTATGTTTAACATGCTGATCAAAGGGTTTTACTAAAAGAGTTATGGTCTAATTTTAGTGAAAGTGCAAAGTAGACTAAGTGGTATGCTAGATATTTTCAGACTTAGCTAAGTGGTAGTTCGAGTTTAAATTTTTTTTTTGTGGTTGGTTGTATCGTGATCTTGAGTATGAAAAAACATCCGAAAAAATAAAATAAAAATGACACCGTTGCAACTCCATACAGAGAAACAGGAATGGAGGCGGCGGCGCCAGCCATGCTGGCGCCCTCCTTCCTGGGGCGGCGCCAGCATGGCTGGCGCCCTCCTCCTGCCACGTCGGTTCACGTGCGCCACGGTGGCAGGAGGACGGCGCCAGACATTGGATGACGGCGCCAGCCACTCTGGCGCCCCAAAAAGGACCATTTCTGGGATAAGTTTTTTCAGGGGTCTATTTGCGAAATAAGTTTTTTAAAAGGACCAAAATGTGAAAAATCCAGGTAAAAAGGGCACACTGATTTTCATTTCATTTCATCATTTTATAGGCTTACAATGCAGTTTTCTCTTTCCTCTTTACTTTCTTCAATAAAAAGAAGGAAAAATGGAAAGATGAGGTGATTACATAAGCAAGTTATTTGACTAGTTTAATAATGTAGATCATCATTTGTCATTTGTGCCGGAAATAGGCATGTTCAGGATGGATAGTCGGGACTTGGGTGTATTGAAAAGGCAAAATTATCGTCAAGGCCTCGCCCTCCATTCCCCATGGGGAACAAGCTCCAAAGATGGATTATTTGAGATTTTACCACCATGCAAAAATTGCCTTTACCATTCCCGATCTGACAAGAGAAGCTAATAATACAGTGAATATACAGTGAAAACTTTGCCATTCCCGATCCGATTGGGAAATATTGCCTTTGCCATTCCCGATCATATTGGGAAATATCATACCAAGCAATGCAACAGCAGTAAATACAAATAGAGTAGTTAGTACTCTCTTTGTCTGTAAATATAACTATTTATTGGGGTTTAGACAGATATTAGAGTTGAGGTGAAATTATTTTGCATCTACAGTGGTGAAAACTGGGTTAGGCACCGGCTCAATGGATTGGGATGATTTGGGCCTTGTGGTATTATACATAGCTAATGCGGTTTGGGCTGGGAATGGGCTGGACTTCAAACCGTTGGCAGGCTTTGATGTTGGGCTTGTTTGGTTTGATACCAACTTATTACCTTACTAAAATTTTGGTAACTTCAATAGTAGCAAGTGAATGTTTGGTTTGCTACCAAATTTTGCCCGCAATAGTTTAAATTCAATACTACCCAATTTGGTAGTGCCAAAACTTGCCAAGGTTTTGGCACTACTAAGATTTTAGTAGGGCAAAAATTGGTTCCAAACCAAACAAGCCCGTTGTGTTCTTTCCCCTTCTTTCCCAACTCACTTCCATTTTTTTCTGGAAAAAGTGCACCGAAGGTCCCTTAACTTGTCATCGGGATAAAAAACGTCCTCGAACCGTAAAACCAGATACGCGGGGTCTCTTAACTATACAAAACCGGTCACCCGAGGTCCTTCGGTGGTTTTGACCTCGATTTTAGACTACGTGGCAGCTGAGTCAGCGTGGAAAGCACGTGGGCCCCACATGTCAGCATGCCACGTCATCCCTCTCTTTCCCCTTTCGTTTTTCTCTTCTTTTTTTACTTCTCTTTGCGGCATGGGAGTAGCAAGAAACGGGCGGCGGCGAGCGGTGATCGAAGCGGTAGCCGCCGAGTGAGAGGTTCGTGCTGCTGCCGCCGCCGCCGCCGCCGCCGCCGCAATCGCCGTCGTCGCAGCAACTCCCCCTGCACGGCCTCACCTTCGCCATCAAGGACATGTTACTCATGCTTGCTCGCTCTCGCTGCCCCCAAAATGAAGCACACGGCAGTGAAGACGACGACTGACTCTTTGATTTGGTTTTGTTTCGCAGCTTCGACATCGCCGGCCGCGTCACCGGGTTCGGCAACCCGGACTGGGCGAGGACCCACGCGCCCGCCGCCGCCACTTCCCCCGTCGTCCTCGCTGCGCTCGCCGCCGGCCCCACAGCCTCGGCACCACTATTTCTTGGCCGCAACAACGCAGCATCTATGGGGAGAACGCGCGCGACGGCACGCCGACCAACCCATGCGCCCCCGGCAGTGTCCCCGGCGGATCCTCCAGTGGCTCCGCCGTCGCCGTCGCCGTCGCCGCCAACCTCGCCAACCCGGGCGTCGTGCTGCGCGCCATGCTCGCCAAGAAGGAGGAGCTGGCCGCGGCCGGCAACATTGGGTCCGATCCCTACAAGAGGCGGCGGATCGGGGCCGACATAGGGCACGGTGGCGTGGGGACTGGCGGCGACATGGCCGAGATGGCGCAGAGCAGAGGCAACCCGGACTTGAAGGGGGCAATGGGCAGCCGAGGTACACGGCGGCAGTCGCACTGGCGTTCGTGGCGGCGAGCCTCGGGAAGGGAGGGTGGCGCGGCGGTGGAGGGGGGAGGTGGGTGGCGGCGCTGTTCCGGCGTGGGTCGGTGGAGAGGTCGTCGCTGCAGCGGGTGTTCGGCGACGCCACGCTGCGTGACACCGTCGCGCCGCTGCTTCGCCTTCCGCCTCCGCGACGTCTGCGCCGCGACGTGCGCCGGCGGGGCCACCGCCACAGCCGTCCGCTCCGTCGACGGGCGCACGGCCATCGCCGCGGCGTCGGCCGGGGTGGCGGCCATGGGCAACCCCACCGCCGCCGCCATCACCCAAGTCCTCCACAACAAGTAGGAGTTCCCCCTCGCCGCCGGCGTCGACGACCTCCTCGTCGTCTCCATCGGCTCCGGCTCCTCCTCCAGCGCCGCCCCTTCCGCCACCCCGTCCTCCAGGGGCCTGTTGCTGGGGTGGTCGGCGAGGCCGACACGGAGGTCGCGGCCGCGCAAGAGGTGGCCGTGGAGGTTGCGGGTCATCCCGTCGTGGCGTCGTCCCGGCGGATGGCGAGGCAGGGAGAAGCGGGGCACACCGTCGATCCGGCGGCGGAGGAGGAGGAGGACGCCGGACACCGCGCCGCGGCTGGATCCGGCCGTGGAGGAGGAGGAGCCGAGGAGGACGCCGACGACCACCATGCCCGCCGGCCGCCGCGCGCTCGCAAAGAGAAGTAAAAAAAGTTGAGAAAAAAGAAAGGGAAAGACAGAGATGACGTGGCACGCCGACACATGGGTCCTATGCAGGGTCCCACGCTCACTCAGCCGCCACGTAGACCAAAACCGGGGTCAAAACCACCGAAGGACCTCGGGTGACCGGTTTTGTATAGTTAAGGGACCCCGCGTATCTGGTTTTGTGGTTTGAGAACGTTTTTTATTCCGATGACAAGTTGAGAGACCTTTGGTGCACTTTTTCCTTTTCTTTTTCTACACGCACACTTTTTAAACTATTATGGTGTATTTTTTTAGATTTTTTTTATAGAAAAGTCGCTTTAAAAATTATATTAATTCATTTATCAAGTTTTTCTAAACTAACACTTAATTAATCACATATTAATAAGTAACACCATTTTCCGTGCGGGGAGGTCCCACCTCATAAACCCAGCCTTAAATCTAGAGGTGCCCGACACATTTTAATTTCTTACTGTAACATCAGTGTAATACAGCAAACAGCATTCAAGTACAGGCCTTAACTTTTCTTTCCACCACCGGTTTTTAGTTAAGCAAAAAAGTATGTATTGTGCTATTTCCTAAAAGATACTACAACGTACACTGTTTTTTTTAAATACACTTAATTTCCTTTTCCTCATTGAGGAAACATAGAGACAACGAGCAGCTTAATCTGAGTTATCGCCAGAGTTCAGCCAATCCAAATATGCTCTGATGAACATTGCTAGTTCTGCCATGCAAAAGAACAATCAGAGCAAAAGAATGCAACTTAAACTCACATATAATAGAGTGCACACCAAGCATCGCTAACATATTCGGCCAATATTTGAACTTAGCTACTCTCAGTAACTTCTGTGAGTTCTCAAAATAAAGTACAGATTACATCTCTATTACCCATGCGCCATGGTCAACTCCAAAAAGACACGGATATTTTCATATTCTCAGATCCAAGTACCTTCAAAACGAGCACCTGAACTGCTTACTACCAAGGTAATGGAGGAAAGCATCTTCCATCAAAAACCATCAACTACTACATGATCAACTCAACTCTTCATAGGCAGCAAAAAGGGAATGCCAAGTCGCTAATACTTTGGATGCTCATACCCATCGTTCTTGGTCTTGGCCTCAAGAAACGAGGCACTCGCCTTGTCCAAAAACCAAACCAACTTACCGTCCGTTGGCTGAACCATTCTTGCAGGAATTGATGGAGCATCAGGACCCTCTGTACCGTCAGAGATGGCAAAATACACAGCCTTTGCCTTGTCTTCTCCGGTGGCCACTACGGCGATGTTCGATGCCGAGTTTATCACGGGAAGGGTGAAGGTGATCCTCTCCGGTGGCGGCACCGGAGAGTCGGTGATGTAGGTGACCCAGTCGTCCTTGAGCTCAAGTGCAGGATGGTTGGGGAACAATGAGGCTACATGACCATCAGAGCCGATGCTAAGGAGGATCAGATCAAACTTGGGGCAGTCGTTGCTCTCTGAAACTCCGACTGTGCGAATCTTGACCAGCTGACGGATGACGAATTCGTAGTCCGTCGCTGCATCCTCCACCGTCACATTGTCATTGATGGAGTAGACGTGACCATTAAGAATAGGCACCTACAAAACCCAATTCAGATGTAACAAATTCATGGTTCACTCAAAAGAAACCTTGGAGTGCCTTATATTAATTAACAAGTCACAGCTACATCGTACTTCCAACAAAGCTGTAAGTTTGTGAAGTAAAATACTTAACATAAAACCTAATGTTAATGCCACCAGTGATTTGTAGAACCAAAACATAGAGAGACCTTGCAACATCCTTCTTTTTTACATTAATTATGACAAAACCAACAAATGCGCCAACTTATCTAAGGCTTTGATGTGCAATTGAGCAAATGATCCTTTGTTAAAAGTTCAGGTAGATAAACTTTTAACAATATGACAGGATGGCAAGCAGATACAGTATAGATATGAAATCTAAAACTGTGTTGTAAGCTCTTTAAACTTCACTATGAGTGTAAGATTTCCAAACCAAGAACCATATAACTGGTATATACCAGTGTGGTTCAACTGACAAGATATTTTCCTGTACCAATAATGCACACTCATTTGGATAAGCTCTTCAATCGGATAACATCTGCTGGATATAGTAATGAGAAGATAAGCAAATATGTGGTAGGCATGCAGCTGGCACCCCCAGAGTAGTTGGAAGAACTACAACTGTTGGTAGGCCGAATGTAGCCTTAATGCGGGTTAATTATTGAGAAAAGGATTTTGCATGATCTGCACAGACCAGACCACATCCCAAGTCAAACAAAAAATATTGCTCGGAAACCATTGTGTAAACAAAGCATTTACTTTTGGATTAAATAATATTGCATCTATGTTTTCCGATCAGATTGCAGTACCAGATTACCAGATCAGAGCACATGTATTGGTTTCATTATTGCTTATCAAAATGTATTTGATGCAACTGCAATTTTTTTAGATAATGGAAATGGATTACATCTCCGGCCTCAACTGCACAGAGTTTTGAACCAGGGGACAAGCATAGTTCAGATTAACAGATATAAACTTCCACAGATTCTCATCTAAAAATCCTTTGTTTTTCTTGTTATAGTGGCATGTGTATCAGTACACACGCACAATAATTAACTCAGATTGGTGAAACAAAGAAACCGATAAACAAAAGGATGGACTATACAAGCACCCTAGATTACTTTAGCATATGGAGTACTTCTTAAGCTGATATACCTTGGAGAGAAAATCTTCTTTTGTTGATTTATAGTAGCTATCCACATGGTTCTTAGCCACCGCACGTTCATCAGCCCAGAAGATGTACCATTTAGACCAATCCAGGGTTTTGTTGTATGGTGCTTCACAAAGTTTCCTGTTTGAAGGAAAAAAAAAGCAATTTAGGTACAGAATCTTGAAGGCACACATACTGGAAAACGCGAACTGAAATATTAGTTAGTGAAGCTAATGGAAGCAGTGTTACCGCATAAAACTGATAAGAGGCCCTCCAGACAGGGCAATAGCAAAGTAACCTCTTTCCTTAATAGAAATTTCTGAAACTTGTGAAATATACTCAGCCAGATCTGTTGCCATCTCGTCTGAACTCTCAAACATCCTGATTTCGTTATTCTTCTTGGGTTCATATGAGGCCACAATTTCCCTCTCCATTGTTCTATTTTCTGTTGAACTTGAATGCCAGCTATTATTCCAACTGAGCATCCCTATGTAAGAAGTACGTGAAGAGATGAACTTTCAACTTGGCACCCCAGAAGGCAATGTCCAATTGATTCGGAAACATCAATAAACAAACATGATTCAGCTTCTAATTCTTTACAAGTAAGAAGGAAGGTCATATATTTAGTGTATTTTCTTGTTATGGGCTTATGGCAAAGAAAAAAAAACATCTGCATTGAATACTTTGACTACCAAATATCCTCCATCATTTATCCTTCAGAATCATTTGTCAGAGTTTTCTTCATCAGAACAGATATTTGAAACCTAAGCATGATGTATACGGTCAATCTCAACTGATCTATATTAGCCCTAACATGTAATAACTTGTGTACACCGCTATATGTTGATAAAGACAACAGCTTATTGCTATCTAACAAAATGTTAAACCTGAAAATTTTCAACAAGATGAAACATAGACTAAATAAGTAAAACGCTACACAGCAAGGTGCTTCTCTCTGCTTAGAAAAACAGTGTACCTCTTGAGTCTGGAAACACAATGTTCAATATCTTGTTGGCATTTTTTTTTAATAAAAGATATCTGCACTAGTTGTAGTAAAAGAGCTTAAAACATTTGTCCAGCAACAGAGAGGTGCTTCAATATGCATGGTTTTTTTTTATAAAGATAATAAGCTTGCTAAATGGAAAAAAGTGTTGTCTCTAATCGACTATATATGCATTCACAAACAAAAGACTAGAAATTTTAATAGAAGAAATTGAGCAGCATAAGATCGCTAAATAACTATGACGATTGGAACATGCCACTAGAAGACAATTGGATTTATTCAAGATTATGATGTGACAGAGATATAGTATAGTATGCTAACCTTGCGAACACACCTCTTTTTTGTTTTGTGAAAATAATTTAGCAAACTATAGCCAGATAGAAAACCGTAAATACACTCATGTCACTCAAAATCTGAAGTCCCAATACACTGTCAACAGAACAAGCATCTATTCCATTACAGCCCGGCAGAAATGATAATCAAGAAGTATAGCAGGTTAAGACGAAGCCACTGCGTAACTCAAATATTGTGCTGCTTAATGGTTAGACATGAACATTTAAAAAAACCCCAAGAAAAAAAGGTGTAAATAAGAAATATTTTTTAAAAACCATTAAGAGGTGTTCATCTGAAAAACATTATCAAAGAACCAACAATGTTTTGACCAGCAAATTATACTAGCATGAGAAAGGAAGAATAATTTGCTTAAATGTTCAACTCTCAAGGAAGGGGAAAAAGCTGACAAGAACTGTAACGGGAAGTGAGGGGAAGCAAACAAAGCAAAAGCTATGTTGCCACTGCAAGCTCTAGCAGCCATCATTTGGGCAAAGAGCTTGAGAGCACATCAAAGATTCCAAGCTTTTTTGTTTTCAGAATCACATAAAAAAGCATCCAAAAGGGAAGCAACTGGTAACTAGAGAGAGAGAGAGAAAGGAACTATTCTACTCACTTTACTACTACTTTACCCAGATCAAATTCAGAAGGGGGGAAAATAACAGTACAAATCAACCATAGGAAACTAGTACTGAACTGCTTCCAACAGCCATTGCTCAAGAAACGAGAAAAGCTTAGCTACCTGCACGAATCGAGCTGACAAAACAGTGAGAAAAGAAAAAAAAAAATCCAAACTTGTTGGGCAAATCAGCATCTAATCAAGTAAAGAGACACTCATTCGACCACCAATCTTGAGAGTTGAGACAGAACAGCCCCACAATCTAATCAGCAATGCCGTAACAGCAGAAGAAGACGGTAACGATCCGTCAGAAAAAGTAAAAGGTGAAGAACACAAGTACGCCCTGGTTCTTGGCTCTTGCAGCAGCAGCACCGGACTGACCGAGTGACCAACAATCCAACCAAGAACAAACCCAAGCCCCAACTCACAAGAACTGAAGAACCCACCTGCGGTTAGCATTTGCCCCTTCTCGAAGACTCGCCACAAGCCAACAAAGCTAGAGAATAATAATAATAATAATAATAATAATAATAATAATAATAATAATAATAATAATAATAATAATAATAATAATAAAAGAAGCCAAGCGAATCAAGAAAGCTGTAGATAAAATACGCACGCACGGGGCAGGTATATGTGCACAGGATGACGATGAGAGAAGAAGAAGATAAACTTATCGACAGGGAAACGAATTAACGAACCTTTTGTGTGTGTGTTACCGCTATTTTAATCCCAAAGCCCCTAATGGGAGGGATTTCGATCCGTTGTTTTTCCTCCAAAAGCTGTATCCTTCTCCTTTCTCTCGATCTCTCCAAACTCCAAGCAAGAGAGCAGAGCAGAGGCGTCTCGCGTCCGCTGGGTGGGAGGGATTAAAGAATTGGGTGAATTCGGGCGGGTCCAGCTGCAGTGAAATGCAGCGCAGGACGTACGTGCGGGTGCGCAGCTGATCCTTATCACGATCTACCGACCCCTCGCTCTCATGAGTGATGATGAGTCCCCTCCTCTCTCTCTCTCTCCTTTCTTCCTTTGATTGTCGATGCTTCGAATGTTCTCGAGTGTTCTCTTTTTTTCTTTTTTCTTTTTCTGTTTTGAAGATTACTGTTGCCGGTAACAAACCGTCTCTAATATCCGAAATTTTACGCAATATAAATATTTCTAGTACATGATTCAAATTCAAAGAAATCTAAGCATTTCTCTACCCAACCAGGTGCTTAGGAGGAAAAATTCAAACAATTCAAAATATTACAAGTAAGATGACTGAAAAGGAATGTTCCCCATATTCTTAATATTTGCTAAACAAAACTAAAAATGCTTATATAATCCATATTTAGGAACCGATGGAGTAGTCATTAATACGCCGTTGCCTCGTTGGTAGAAGTAATAAGTAAGGCGAGCAATTATTGTTCTCAATTTGATTGAGTGAAATGATTTAATCCACCGGTTGATCCAGGTAACTCTTTTAAGTTTTTTAAAAAATTACTTTGTGGGCCATTACATAGAAATGTACTTTTTTGGTATATTTTATGTACACGATTATAATGGACTCCAGTACGAGCATTTCGAAGAGAATGAAAAGGAGTCATAAGTGACACTAAAATCAAAGTTTTTATATGGTTGCTGCATAGAAAAGTAGTTCTAATAAAGAATAACCTTGCTAAAAGGAGGGATGATAAGCATTATTGCTTTTGCGATATGAAATAGACAATTCAAAACCTTTTTTTAACATCAAGTTGTTCGTTTTGCTTAGCGAGATGTGTTTTTCTTTTAACTTCTCTCCTTCTCATTATATCTGGAACTCCTAAGTTTATCAATCCAAGAAATTGCACCCTTTCTTTTTCTCACAGTATCAACCCTCTCCTGCCATCGTCATGATCTGGAAGAGTAAGTGTACAATGAAAATTAAAGTTTTTCTCTGGCTCCTTCCGATGAACAGGCTAAACACCCGAGAAATGCTCCAAAGAAAACAAGTAAATCTCTAAAGTGGGCCAAACTGTGTCATGTGCACTCATGCAATGGTTGAAGATGCCTCGCATCTATTCTTTACATGCCATTTTTCTCAGCAATGTTGGCATCTCTTGGGAATTTAATAGAACCTTAATATGGAATTCTTACACATGATAATCACAGCTCGAAGAAACTTTGTGCACCCCTTCTTTGTTGAAGTTATTGGAATTGCCTGTTGGAATATTTGGACAAGGAGGAATGACTTCATCTTTAACAACATCCCTGTCTCCTTCTCTACCTTGGAAAAGTGGCTTCAAAGGAGAGTTTGTTCTACACAGTGGCTCAGGCAGGGCCCGGCTAGCATGGGCAGCTGCCCGGGCTCCATGCCATCGCAACACACTTACACACATTGCTCCACAGCATAAACAACATTTACTCATTAATTGTTTACATAATTATGTTGCTTCCTGGTTCCAATGAAGGTTAGTTAGATGACTAGCCAACAAACAAGCAAAGCAAGGGCAAAATCATCATATCGCTAATCTTGCTTTCCTGATGTATAGTAGCCCCGTACTCTAACTCATTAACAATAAACAACCATAAATTGTAACTTGGCAACAATCAACTTTACTTTTGTCTATGATAAGCGGTCCAATTTTTTATATATAGTTTTTATCTCTTGTTAGACTTGCCTAGGCTCAAGAAAATTTCTGGCTCTGCCACTGGTTCTACATATGCATATCTCCTTCTCTACCTTGGAAAAGTGGCTTCAAAGGAGAGTTTGTTCTACATATGCATAGAGCAAAAGTTGTTGATATCCCCCTCTGGCAATCATGGATTAGCTCCCTCAATTAGCTGCTCCTCTCTTCTTTTTTTTTCTCTTGTAAATTCTCTATGTCCCACCCCCCTTAAATCCGCTCTATATATATATATATATATATATATATATATATATATATATATATATATATAAACATCTCTCCTTCTTGAAATGCCAAAAGTATTTTGTTAACTAGAAGGACATCTTTAGGCGTAGAGGGAGGGTGAATATGCAATATAAAACTTAGTACGAAGCGGAAGCTAAAAGGAAAAGTCGGATATTCCGAAGTGTTAGATATTCTAATACAACTAGAAATTTTGATATGAAAATCAAAAATTATAATCTGCACAAGGCAGCAAGCTAAGCCAAGCAAGCTAAGATCTTGGCTTTCACAAACTTCTCTCAACCTACCACACTCGGATCGGTGGCTCAATGGTGACACCTAAACATCTAGGAGTTCTCAATCTCCAATAGTAATAGATGTAACAATAACTCCTTGAAGTTGAAAAGCTAGTGCTCAAAAGACCAATCAAGAACTCACCAAGTACAAGATCTTCCAAAACCAACTCATTCGCACAAAATCAAATTGTGTAGAATGAGAGAGGATAAGGTTTGGAAAGTAAGGCTCAAAGTGAATCTCAAGAAGAGGAGGGGGGTATTTATAGCCCACTCCTAAATCTACCGTTAGAGGCAAAGATTATTCATATTGGATATTCCGATGCGATCATGAGAAATTCCAACCAGTTTGAATTACATCCTCCAACCTAGCCAAAAACCAACACATCGCATATTCCAATAAGCATATCGGAACTTCGGGCATGTTTGGATTGATGCCCTACCAAAATTTTAGTAGTGCCAAATCTTGGACAAATTTTGGCACTACCAAAATTTTGGTAGGGTAGAGTTGAAAATGTTCATTTGGATTGAAGCCAAAATATGCCAATAAGAGACAAGTTCATGGGCAGAGCTAAATTAGTGGCATAAGTAGTGTTTTAATAGAGGTCTACCAAAATTTTGGTAGGGTAGCAATCCAAACTGGCCCTTCCTATATTTCTCCATACATAAGCATTTTGCGCCATATTAGATGGCCTATTCAGATTGTAACCAAAATTAACCTTACCAAATTCTAGCGATGCCAAAATTTTGGCAAGTTGGCAATATTACCAAAATTTTGGCAGGATTCCTTATGTATGTACCAAAGTTTGGCAATAAACTAAATGTAGATACTTTTTTGGCAACTTTGCCAAAAAATGATATAGTTAAAAATGGCATCAATCTGAACAACCCCTCTTCCAAAGCCATATAAGAAATTCCGATCCATTGAAAATTCCAGCAACTTGAAAGTTTTTCCAAATGAAACACTTTGCGAATAGATTTCAGTTTTTCAACCATAGATTTCAAAGCGGCATATCTCTTTATAGTATGGCTTTTGCTGTGGATAAAAAATGAAAAAGGATTACCTTCGAAAACACTTTTGCCGTACATTTCATTCCAATTGAATTGAATCACCAAAACAATTCTTTTCATGCCATTTGAAAGACTAAAACACTATACATATTCTCAATAAACATTGTTAGTCCTTCCTAATTAGAGATGGCAATGGGGACCCGATCACCAATTCCCCGCGGTGAATTCACATATTAGGGGATGAGGATGGTTGATATCTACCATCCATGGGAAATCTAATGGTCCAAAACTCATCACCATTAGGGATGGTAGGGGCGGAGATGATGCACCACTCCCCATCCCCGTCCCTGCGGTGGCATGCATGCAGTGCAGCTAGGGACCAATTCTAGACTTTATAGTCGTTTTGGCCCAAATGAAGCCCAATGACCACGTATTTTCTAATCCTAGTCAACCAGTCAACCCTCCCCATCTCCAAATTTTTTTAGACTCCAATCTCCACCTACGCACAGCGCCGCTGCCTCTCCTCGCGTGAGCGCGGTCCCGCCCCTAGCCGTCAACACTCGCACGGCGCCTTTGACCGTTGTCGGGCCGCCCGCCTCCTCCGCCCGTCGTTGCGCGGCCCGTCGCTAGTCAGCATGCCATCTGCCGCCACAGATTCCTCTGCCGACATGGCTTCGGCCTCCTCCCCCCGTAAGCTCTGACGACGACAAAGCAAGGTGAGCACATGCTATAATCCCTAGTCCTTTCTCTGTACTCCATAAACGCATTGTACTCCCCTCATTTCCTTGCTATCAAATAATTGACTAATGGCCATATATTTCACTTGTTCTTGCATGCAGGGACTTGCATTGGGCCTGGCCCAAATACACTTATTGGGCTCATCACCGAACCTTCCATATATTGGAATGCACTATATAAACAGAGGAGGGGGGGCTACTCATTAGTATAGTTGATTGGAGGATTGAATAGAAAAGAGAGTCTCACCTTAAAGTTTGTGTCTCCACTTTCTGTGGAATTACGGGATCCTCTTGGACTACTTCGTGTAGCAGGAAGGTTGCGTAATACGTTATCAGGCATGAAGCTCTACCGGAGACCAAGATAGAAGAAGGGTAAGAAACTCGAGAATCCTCTTTGCATCTTGTAGATTGAATTGCAGAAATAAATTCCTTGCATCTTCCTGCAGTGGCGTAGCCAGAAATTATATAAGACTAGGGCTAAGATAGGGCTTGACTAATGGAGTATTAGTTTTCTGAAAAATTTACATGGTGA